AACCAAAATCACAATGAGGTATCACCTGACATCGTCAGAATGGCTAAAGTCAAAAACACAAGAAACAACAAGTGTTGGCCAGGATGTGGAGAGAAAGGAACCCTGGTGCATTGTCGGTGGGAATGAAACTGGTGCAGCTACAGTGGAAAACACTGTGGAGGTTCCTCAAGAATTTAAAAGTAGGACTACTCTATGACCCAGTAATCACCCTACTGGGTATTACAAAAACACTAATTTGAAGGGATACATGCACCTCACGTTTATTGCAGCATCAGTTACAAAAGCCAGATTATGGGAGCAGTCCAAGTGTCCATCAACAAGTGAACAGATAAAGAAGATGTGGTGTATATGCAGTGGAATATTATTCAGCCGTAAGAAAGAATGAAATCTTGCCATTTGCAACAACATGGACGGAGGTAGAGTGTATAATGCCGAGCGAAAATGAGCCATCAGAGAGAGACAAATATCATATGATTTCACTCATATGTGGAATTTAAGAAACAAAGATGCAAACAAAGGAGCAAAAAGAGAGACAAACCAAAAAAGAGACTCTTAACTATGGAGAACAATCAGATGGTTACCAGAGGGGAAGTGGGTGGGGGCATGGGGGAGATGGGTGAAGAGGGTTAAGAAGACATTGATCATGATGAGCACCAAGTAATGGATAGAATTGTTGAATCACTATACTGTACACCTGAAACTAATACAACACTATGTTAACTACACTGGAATTAAAATTTTAAAAAGAAAAAAGAAATAATTTAGTTCATCAAGACTTGGAATATTCTCTGGACAACTAAATTAGAATGGTCTCTTATCTTGTGCTCAGGGCCTAATAATTTCAAATGACCTTGGGCAAATCCTATCACCTTTTCAAATTCCATTGGTCAAATGTGGTCTTGGCTCTGAAAGGAGAAGTGATATGTGGCATTTGTGGTTAAGAACAAAGACTTTGATGCAAAAAAAAAAAAAAAAAAGAAAAGAAAAGAAAAAGAAAAAAGAACAAAGACGTTGGGGAGGCAAGTGGGGGGATGGGGTAACTGGGTGACGGGCACTGAGGAGAGCACTTGATGGGATGAGGACTGGGTATTATACTATATGTTGGCAAATCGAACTTCAATTAAAAAAATAAAAAAAAATTAAAAAAAAGAATAAAGATTTTAGGTATAGATCTAAATCTCAACTTTACCACTTATTAGTCATGAAACCTTGGGGAAAATGTCCTCTTTGAGAATAACTTCAGCTTTGCAGCCCATACATCCGTATTGTGACTACTTAATACTGCCATTGTCACGTGAAAATGGCCATAGGTAATACATAAACTGCACTCCGATGAAATTTTAATCTTCCGAAACTGGTGGCTGGTCAAATTAGGCCTATGTCATAGCTTACAGATTTCTGATCTATGAGACAGAAATAATAAATAGTCACTTACCTTCTGGGGTTGCTGTAAGAATTAAGTTCGTTACTACCTGTTTCCTGGCACCCAGTACACGCTCAATGAATGGAAGCTGCTATTATTATAATTTCTAAGTTTATTCCAACTCAATCCGTGACCATGGACCTATGGCTGAAAGACTTTCCGAATGTGCAGAACAAGTTCACAATTGAAAATTACTTTTCTGGAGATCTACATGGAAGGAACACAGATCTGGGAGGGAAACACGGAGTTCTCTGTGGCTCCCGGCCCTGACTCTTCTATGCTCTGAGGACAAAACACTGCTACCCGGGTGTGTGAGTAATCTCATTTCAAAACAATAAATAAAGGGGCACCTGGGTGGCTCAGCAGTTGAGCATCTGCCTTTGGCTCAGGTCATGATCCCGGGGTCCTGAGATCGAGTCCCACATCAGGCTTACCACGGAGAGCCTGCTTCTCCCTCTGCGTGTGTCTCTGCCTCTCTGTGTGTATCTCTCATGAATAAGTAAATAAAATCTTTTTAAAAAAACAAAAACAATAAATCTGTAAAACTAAGATAGCAATTCTTCCTTGTAAAATGACCTGATACATAGCATTATGCTTTTAACTGCCAGGACACGTTTTTCTTTAATGTGATGTCTACTCAGTGTTTTTAAAATCCAGTTGAAGACATTCATTGTAACTTGAAACCAACTGTTCAGAGTTGAAAAGCCTGGATATTATCCCACAGTGTATTATCTTAACACAAACTGAAGATAAATGTCATCCCACTAAGGCTCAGAGCAAAAAAACTATGCTGTGCAAATGTCTTATGTTTTTAGTAAGGTTGTTCTATATTAATCTTTGGCATCTTGGGAGTCAGTTTGGGGTAATGAATGAGGGCTGGTGACCATGTTGGACAGAAGCATCTGGGAAAATAATGATAAGTGGCGGCTATTGAGTTGTCCATAACCTCCGCTTCCCATTCTTCACTCCAGTCATGATCTCAATCTGGGATGCCTGGGTGGCTCAGTCGGTTCGGCATCCAACTCTTGATTTTTGGCTCCAGTCGTGTGATCTCGGGGTCATGGGATCAACTTGTCACCCTCCCTTCTCCCCTCCCCCTGCTCTCTGTCTCAAACAAATAAACAAAACCTTAAAAAAAAAAATCCTAATATCAATCCTAAATTCTCGAGTCTACTCAGTGCACCACATTTTGGATTCTGTATAACTGGGATTGAATGCACGTACTACACTAACTTGTTCAGGAAAAAAAAGCAATAACAGAACTTGATATTAAGTAAAATGTATTTTTTTCTTTTTTAGTTTATGAATTTTCGCATCTGCTGTTGAGGAGTTGTTCTTACAACCCTACACATATAAATCATCAGAAAATATCAGCATTTTACTATTACAATGGTAAGTGAGAACAAGTAGAAACACTTTTAAGAGACAAGAGAGGCAAGATTATAAAGTGCTGTGGCATTTCACTCTGAAATGGTATGTCATACGCGGAGCGGAGTAATTCATCCACATGAGAGCTACCTGTAGAGGCAGGGAGGATCACCATAGCTATCCGTTCCCATCCGACGGGATCAAAGATGAAAAATTCCGCCAGAGAAGGAGGAACAAAATGTTTCAACAGCTGAAGATAGGAGTCCCCAGCAGGATTTTAGGTTGGTGATATTGTTGTGGATTTTTCTTACCAGCCCCCCCAAAAAATTATAATAAGGCACCCAAATTATTTGGGCTCATAATCACTGGAATAATCTAATAATGTGTTATTTTAACTATTATCAGTAATAGTCAACGTATCGATGACTCATTTTTCATGGTTATCTACTGCTAGCATCTATTTTTATGTTATAGTATTTTCTGTAGATAGCAAGAGTCTTCAAATGGCCACATTTGTGTTTATTGAGTTATGTTGAATCTAGAGTGCCGTGCCTGCCCATAAGCTTTCAGAGTCTCCGTTAGATGATTAAACATAGGAAATGCTTAAGCTGTTGACATATTTGCATCGATGTCACGAAGGAGCTGTAACTTTATATTTATGTCATTACCTTGCGTACCAAAATGTGCCTACACACAGTGGTTGCCCACCCATGGTATTAATCAGAAGTCGCTGAAGGGTGAAGTCCCAGGACTTTGGGGAGACACGAAGGTGCAGAAACTGTGCAGAAGTGCATGCCTACCCCCCCGCTGGCCGGTCACCCCATCACCCTGGGTGGGGAATGCAGCCTGGCTCTCTCACCAATTAAACCTTTGCTCTTTGCTTGGACTACTTCCAGACACGACTTTGACAGGTTCCTTATCTGCCAGGAAGCAGACTGAGCTCGATTTCACAGATGTCGCTGGAAATCTATGACTGAGTTTTAAGGGTGTGAATGTGAAGGGGTGGGGGTTAAAAATCTGGTTTGATATTAACACAGGTTTAGTAAAAGAAAAAGGAAAGAGAAAGAAAGAGAAAGAAAAGAAAGAAAGAAAGAAAGAAAGGAAAGAAAGAGAAAGAAAGAAAGAAAGAGAAAAAAGAAGAAAGAAAAAAAAGAAAAAAAAAAGAAAGGAAAAGAACCTGCCACTTAAGCCGTGGCTACGAGCCCTTCAGAAGGATTTCAGTGGAGGGAACAGACTATGCAGGAGGCCTCGAGGCATCACAGGAAATCCCTCTGCCCTAGCAGGTGGGGCATCTATTATTTCTTCCAGGCACTAAAGTGCAGGTGGCGGGAGGGAAAAAGAAATGGTAACAGTTAATAAGGGGATGGGCGGCTGACAGCTACCTTTTTCTGTAGCCTAAAAGGAGTCATCAGATTATTTGCTGCCTTGAGTGTCATTGTCCGGGGTCCTTCATCCTCGGGAGAGCACAGTAAGAAAACAATTTATAAATCACCCATCTCAGGGAAGTAGAGTTTCCTCCCCCTAAAACTGTACTGTTTTTAACCCCTTTTCCAAGTTAACAGACTAAAACTGTACTTAGGTTTTTCACTCGGTCACCCACAGCTTGTGATCTTAAAAATCCCTGGTTAAACCTTAAAAATCGCTGGTAGCTGGGGACCCCTGGGTGGCTCAGAGGTTGAGTGTCTGCCTTTGGCCCAGGGCCTGATCCCAGATTCCCAGGACCGAGTCCCACTTCGGGGTCCCTACATGGGGCCTGCTTCTCCCTCTGCCTGTGTCTCTGCCTCTCTCTGTGTGTCTCTCACGGATAAATACATAAAATCTTTAAAAAAATAAGAAAATAAAAGTGGTAGCTGTCCCTAGTCCTTGGGGTGGGGAGGGGTGGGCAGCGTCCCTGTAAGGAGAGTTGATAGATTTATCCGACAAGGCGAGGCCCTGGGAGAGAGGCTGTGCGAGCAGGAGGTGGACTTTGCTCCAGTCTCGCCGTGTGGCCGGATCAGAGGTTGTCCACAGGGATGGCAGCTGGCACCGGAGCCCACGGGACAGGGATGCAGGGAAGAGAGCTGGGAAGGCGGCTGGGCCCACCCGACTGGCTCACCGCTTCCTGAGGTGGGGGGGTAGGAAGGGGCGGGGGGGTGCACTTCAGAGATCCTTTCCAGTGCCTCGAGAAAACCAGGTAGTGAAAAGCTGCTAATGATCATTTATTGTCGCCCTCTGTCCAGCAGAAGCCCCTTTCCGCAGGCGGGTGGGTGTCCCAGGCTTCCTGCCGCCCAGCCCTCTGCTGGGACCACGGATCTGACCCCCCACTCCGGGGGTGGGATGGGATGGGGGGGCCGGGGTTCAAGCAAGGCCCAGTCGGGTTTTGCTGCACCTGTGTGCAAACCCTGTAGGCTTTTCCGATGGGGGGAGGAGAGTTGGACACAGAAGAAAAAACACAGCCTGGCGCCAAGCCCCCTGCGGGCAGGAACACGCGACCCTACAGCTGGCTGTTCCTGTGGCTTCCTTGCCCCTGTCTCCTCTTGCGGAGCCGCCGCTGCAGCTGCAGCTTGTTGGTGAAGAACATCTGCCTCCAGCCCATGTCCTCGGCCAGGGCCCTCATGTCCGGGGTGACGGTGTCGCAGGCCGACAGCACGATCTTCTCCCACAGTTTGTCACACGTGCACAGCTGCGGGGGGACCGTGAGACACGGGTGAGGGCAAGGCCATCTACCCCCGAGCCCCTACCAGTCCCTGCTGCCCCGGAGAAACCAGGTGCGTCCTGCCCCCTCCCCTGCCTCGTGGGGGAAAGGCAGGTTCCTCGTGGGGGAAAGGCAGGTGCCTGAGGGACCCGCAGGACGTCATTCATGCATTAAACCAAGTCCCCAACTGGTTTAAGATGAAAAATGCAAGACAGCCCTACATAGTACATACGCAATACGCGGCTGCTGATTTACATACACGACATTATACTATCCATTTCCAATTAACCACGGAACAGAGGCTACCACGGTGTGTCCATGGGCCTTCCATCCAGTGCGGCAGTCGCTGACACCTGCTAAGCTCGTCTCCCATTTTATTTTATTATTATTATTTTTTTTTTTTAGATTGTATGTATCTATTGGAGAGAGAGGAAATAGCGCACGAGGCGGGGGAGAGGCAGAGGGAGAAGCAGGCTCCCCTGTTCCATGCAGGGAGCCTGATATGAGGCTCGATCGCAGGACCCCGAGATCATGACCTGAGCTGAAGGCAGGTGCTTAACCCACTGAGCCACCCAGGTGCCCCTATTATTTTTTTTTTTTTTAAGGAGGCTCCACACAGGTCTTGAACTCAAAACCCAGAGATCAAGACCTGGGCTGAGAGCAGCCCAGATGGTTCAGCGGTTTAGCGCCGCCTTCAGCCCAGGGCCTGATCTTGGAGACCCAGGATCGAGTCCCACGTCGGGCTCCCTGCATGGAGCCTGCTTCTCCCTCTGCCTATGTCTCTGCCTCTCTGTGTGTGTGTCTCTCATGAATAAATGAAATATTAAAAAAAAAAAAAGACCTGGGCTGAGATCAAGTGACTTAACCCACTGTGCCACCCAGGCTTGAACTCACAACCCAGAGATCAAGACCTGGGCTGAGATCAGGTGACTGAACCCACTGTGCCACGCAGGGGCCTCTTGCCTCCGCTGTTAGCCCTCCCTGAAGCCATTTCTCCGTGGGCTGGTCCAGCTGACAGCTTAGTTCACTGCAGGCTGCTTAGTGGCAAGCGGCATCAAAAGGCACAAGTGGCCCTCAAACAAGCAACCAGCACATCTGACCTGCACCCGTTCCTGCTGCCAGGGCCCCGTGTGCAAGTTTTGCTCCAAGCCCCATGCACAGGTGATGTCACCATGCACCAGAGTGGCCTCCACGATTCTGTGTATGCGATGGGCCCATCTGGCACATGGCAACGTGGGCCGTGCTCTGGGGGTAAAGTTCTCTGAGATGTTCCTCTGCGGTCTGGGGCTTTAACTGGAAGCCATGAAGTTAAGGACTGATAAGAGCCCTCTGACCCCAGGTCTGCACCAGGCCTGTTTGCCCTCCCTCCCAGTTCAAAGTTGCCACAGGTCGGCTTCCATTTACTCAGGGCTTTCTGGGAGGACATTTCCAGTTGGCACCATTATTTATAGCACCTACCCTCATCTACTGAACCCTTTCAGGGTGCAGATTTCCTGACCCCTCACACAACATGTCCCCAAATCCTTCCTGAAGGTAAATCTTCCGTTGTATTTATTTAGTATCACTAACCTCGGCATTCACCATGGCTTTTTGGCATATGCAATGGGAGCATTTAAAGGTGCTTGGGGAAAAAAGGAAAAATAAATTTAAAAATAAAGTAAATAAATAAATAAAGGTGCTTGGAGGGGCATCTGGGTGGCTCAGTCAGATAAGTGTCCTGCTTCTCTCTCTCCCTCTGCCGCTCCTCCTGCTTGTGCTCTCTCAGTCTCTCTCTCCTGCTCTCTCTCTCAAATAAATAAGTAAATAAATAAAATCTTTAAAAACAAAGAAGAGGGTGCTTGAATATTTGGGGCTCCTGGGTAGCTGAGTCAGTTAGGTGCCTGACTCTTGATTTCAGATCAGGTCATGATCTTGGCTGGGGTCATGATCTCAGGGTCCTGAGATCGAGCCCCATGATGGGCTCTGTGCTCAGTAGGGAGCCTGCTGGAGAGATTTTCTCTCTCTCTCACCCTCTGCCCCTCCCCCCACCCACTTGTGCTTATTCTCTCTAAAATAAATAAATAAATCTTAAAAAAAGGGGGGGGCATGGATATTTGGTGTTACACAGAAGTAAGTCCAGGATATGAAATGTGCTCTATAAAGGGTTCCCAGTGGGCCTCGGTGACACACACTCCCTGGTTCCATCCTTCCTGTGCCAGTTGTGTGCTCTGGGAAGCTAATCACCAACCCGATTTCTTTCTTTCTTTCTTTCTTTCTTTCTTTCTTTCTTTCTTTCTTTCTTTCTTTTTCTTTCTTTCTTTCAGATTTATTTATTTGAGAGAGAGAGAGCATGAGCAGGAAGGCAGAGGGAAAGGGAGAGAGAGATCCTCAAGCAGACTCCCCGCTGAGCACAGAGCCCCACTCAAGGCTCAATCTCATGACCCTGAGATCAGGATCTGAGCGAAACCAAGAGTCGGTCCACTTAACTGACTGTGCCACGCAGACACCCCCTATTTCCCTTTTCATCAGTTTCATTCAGCGGTCATTATTCATAAAAATCCAGAAGTGGAAAGACCTAGGCATGGTGGGCAAGCCATAAGGAGCTCAGAGTTCCTATAAACCAGTAGTACAGGGTACACTGGCCTGCTCGTCCCTTCTGCTCAAGCCCCTCCCAGACATGCCCCTGCTGTAGGAACCTCCACAGGGACTTCTCATAAAGAGGCAAAGAGAGATGGCTGGGTGGTTCAGTGGTTGAGCATCTGCCTTTGGCTCGGGTCATGATCCCAGGATCCTGGGATCAAGTCTCACATCAGGCTCCCTTTATGGAACCTGCTTCTCCCTCTGCCTAGGTCACTGACTCTCTCTGTGAGTCTCTCATGAATAAATAAATAAAATCTTTAAAAATCTTTAAAAAAAAAAAAAGGAGGCTAAGAAAAGCAAGAAGCCTGTGGACCCTTCAAAGATCAATAACTTATGGAGCATATGTTAAGGGCAAGAAATTTTGTGTTCATTGCCTTATTTATTTATGTCTATTTATTTCATGAATTATTTACTGCAGTAAAATAATCTGAAGCAATCTCCTATGGGATACAATGATGGCAAGTAGGGCACTCAGTCTGTTTACACACAATGTTGCTGAAGAACCCTGGATGCAAGGAAGGCAGATCCTGTCTAGAATAGGCCACGATCCAGGGAGGACAAATCTCTGCTTCCTCCATCACTGAAGGGCCCAGTATTACTTAATCACCTACATCAAGTCAGTGACTGGACCCCCCTCCCGCAGTACAGCCCTTTATTGGGGGGCTCAGTATCAGTCTCTCCTTTACTCCTCTAAATCAGAGGCCAGATTTATCTTGATAGGAGGAAGCTATTGTTGCGGCCACATACAGGCCCCATCCTTGCCACAGGGCATTTTGTTTATGAACCCAGCAAACAGTAGGGTGGCTGGGGAAATAGGCCCACTGACATCCACAGAGCAGAGCATCTTACCCATCTAGTTACTGACAACTTCCTCTGCATTAAGTGCCTTTTGATTAGGAACTTGGGTCACAAAGACCTCTTATCCTTTGGCTTATTCCTAGAAGTCCATCCAAATACCTCTTCCCGGGATGCCTGGGTGGCTCAGTGGTTGAGCATCTGCCTTTGGCTCAGGGCGTGATCCTGGAGACCCGGGGATCGAGTCCCCCATCGGGCTCCCCGCATAGGGCCTGCTTCTCCCTCTGCCTGTGTCTCTGCCTCTCTCTCTCTCTGTGTCTCATGAATAAATAAATAAAATCTTTAAAACAAACAAATACCTCTTCCCTAGGAATCATTGCTAATCTCCAAATCTGGTTCTTTTCAAGACTAACCATCCAGCCAAAACAGTAGCTTTTGCTCAGTAGAAATCCAAGGGCTGTTTTTCAAAAGCAAAACAGTTTTCTACAAACGAATTCTTGTCTTTACTCTAAAGCACTGGGCACAAGCTATACCCTTCCCAGGAAGGCAGGCCACAGGTCCCAGCAAGGATCCAGACAGGCCTCAGCCCTGTGAGCTGTGGACACTTGGAGCATCACTGAATCTGCTGGATCATGAGAAGCCAGTGGCACAGCTGCTTACAGCACCATCCGGACCAGCAGTTGGGCCCCACTACCATTGGCAGCTTTAGGGCTACATGGAGAAGCAAACTCAAATTGTGTATGTACCTTGAAAACTAAAAAGGGCCCACGAAGAGCTGTGGCTGCCTTCCTATCATAGGAATTAAATCTATGGCCGTGGATCTTAGGTGATTTACTGAGAGGGCAGGCCTCTCAGTTTTTGAGCAGCTCATCTCCACCTCCTTGGCATACACATATCTTACCACAGCATCTAAGGTGTCTGATACCTCTTGCTCATCAGCATGATGTCATCAATACTGACCGGAACGTAGGAAGGTGACAGGATCAATAGCTCTGTGATATGAGACCCACAGCTAGAGAACTACCATAATCCTGATGCGAAATGAAGAAGGTACACTGTCATCCCCATGCGGGGAAAGCCAGTCTATTGTGGTGTTCTTATTGGCAAGTCTAGGAAGACATGAGGATGGCGTGCGAGGGGATGGTGGCAAGAGAGAAGGTGAGAGCTGCCAGACTGTAGATACATCTTGAAGGCGGAGCTCATAAGACTTGCTAATGAATTAGATGAGGAGTAAGAAGAAAGAGATGAATGATGGGCTTGTTGGCTTGAACAGCTGGGTGCATGGTGTTGCCAAGGGCCGAGAAAATAAGACTGGGGGAGAAGCAGAATTGGTAAACGGGTATGTGGTGGAGGGGAATATCAAGAGGCCTGGTTTTGACATGTTAAATCTGATGTCTATACTACACGTAGGTGGAAGCATTGAGTGTACAATTAGACTTAAAAGTAAGGAGTTCAAGGGGGGCAACCTGGACTGGAAACATATGTTTGAAAATTATCAGTGTGTAAATACTATTTAAAGCCCTGGGATTAGATGCTGTCGTGGAGGTGTGACTGGGGAGAGAGAATGCCCAGGG